ACGGCCGCGTCTGTAATGGTAGTAACTGAACAAAATTATAAGGAATTATTACAATCAACATTAGATGATGCTGAATGTATAAATGCATATTGTGCTGGTGGTAATTTTGAATATTTATGTGATCTACTGCTTTACCTTAATCGGGTTTTATTGTTCTGTGTCAGTTATACAACAAGTAGGTGGTGTTGTTGGACCTATGCTTCTCCTCTTTTCAGAAGAATAAGTGAAAGTAGTTTTTTGTACATGGTATTGGTGACGAACGGGTTGTCCTATTTGTGTCTGTTTGAAAAGTCGATGAGATGAGAAAGTGTATAAATGGATTGTGCTGGTGTAAGGGACGTCCAATCTTGGATTTGGTTGTTAAGAAAAAGATCTCCAGCAAGATTTCAACAGGCAAACACACCGAAAACTATTTTTCAATTTACTTTTGTGACATTTTTTCATTTTTGCCTTTACTAGAGAGAATGGAGAGAAAGAGAGAGAGAGAGAGAGAGAGAATGGAATAAAAAAATTTTCACCATACTATCATCGAGGAGGAACAAATGATTGAATGACATAGTGTGGTTAATGATCAGACGCTTTTGACTCTGTCTTATGTATAAGTATATCCGTCGTATCGTTTTATCAATATTATTAAGTTCATAAATTTAAACATAGACACAAGTCAATGTTTAGTTTGCTTTAGCGTATCAGGTAATAGTATGGGCCAAAGATATCTCTAGAGATATATTATAGCTCAACTTAAAATGAAGTTTCTTTTTGTAGATCTAAAATTTTATTTTCTGTTTTGAAATTTTCAACATTTAACTAATTTTTAGCAAAATAATCATGTCAATATCACGTACAACCGGTAAAGATATATTCACTATCATCATCGAAGAACATCGGTATGCGAGGCTTCAAAATCTCTTTATTCTCTGCAACACTAATTTAATGGTTATCTTCGTGTGTTAGTCTCTTTGAACAACTTTATCAACAATATAAACAAACAGTAGATTTTCAAGAGAAACATAAAATTGTTTACATGCTAGTTCGTGAATTGTGTATTCATTCTCATAAAGAAGCATTAATATTATATCCAGTGGTGAAATCAATGTTAGAAAATGGTAAGTCAAGTGGTTAAAAGAGTCGACAGTGATTATGATTGTATGATTTATTGCCGATTTATCTTTTATTTTAGGTGCTGAATTGATTAAAGATGCTATCAAAGAACATCGAGAAATCGAAAGACGTGAGTATCTATCTGTTGAGCATTGTTGTTTGCTTACAGATGATAGAAGTGTGTTGTCATTCGTCTAGTTTTATCGAAGCTTGATAGTTTACATACGGTCGAACAATTTACTCATAAAATGGATGAATTGGTACATGAAACCTTGGCCAATGTGTTTATACATATACGTGAAGAAGAAGCGGAATTAATACCAAGTTTAAGAAAAGTTATTGAGGATGAATTAGCGGTTAAATTAGGTCGACAATTTGAAGCGGCTACAAAACAAGTATCGAGTAGACCACATCCAGATGCACCTATGGAAGGCGAAGCTGCACTATTAGCTGATCGATTTGAAGCACCAATGGATAAATTAGCTGATGAAGCTCGATTTGGCTGTGAGTATGACAAGAGTTTTTTTTTGTGCTTTTTGAGAGAAGAAAATTCGTTTTATTTCTGAGGCTTCGTTAGACATCAATATATACGCTGTTTTACAATCATAAACAAATGAAAGCGTATCTATCAACATTATCTTTTTTCTATGTTTAGTTGTTGATCCAGCCAGTCATTTGAATGCAATAACTGATGCTTACCATACTAAACATTAAACAACTTGTACACATAATGTAGAACAAAACACTAGTCGTCGCTTATTTCTCGAAACAGCAACTCGTACTTCTTGGGTAGTTTGTTATATTTTATATTTATTCAAGTTATGATAGCCTCCTTATTCTTGCTACTATTAGATTATTCTTGTTCTCAAATCATTTATTAAAAATGACTATTTTACTGTTATCAACATTGAACTGGACACTTAATCAACACTACTAAAACCATAGCCATAGAAGGACAACTTACTAAGATAAACATATTCCAGATAGAGCACCCAGAATCGTTTATTCATTAGAGCCAATTCAGAGAGAACTCCTTAAAAACAAACTGAGTTTATTCGACCCATGAGTTAGAATAGCAGTGGAGGATTTAGAAAATGCTTCTGATGGCTACGGTACAAAGGAAACAAATTCCGATGGATATAGATCACTGAAAACGTAAACAGAAAATTTATTTTTGCTGGTGAAAAATGAAAACTTTCTGTATCCGGTGGGTGCTATCGCACCCATCTAAATCCACCACAGTTAGGCACCTTTGAGTGGAATTGTTCTATCTCCAGGACCATGATAAGCAGTAAACTGGGGATTACGTATATCGATAGAGGACGCTTTGGGTCACTCAACTATGACATAATAATTTAAAACTCACCACAGATTGTGGTTTCGGCCATTTCATCTTTTACAAGCTGCAGGTAGCAACACCTGGAATCTGAATTTCAAAATTATTTTTCTTCAAGTAGGTAGTCTGATATTAAAATGCTGAAAATCGCCTGATTCTCGCACAGGTCGCCTCGCAGTTTTCAAAAAGTATCGCAACTAACGAGGAAACCTTTCCAGGTGCCCGACCGCTTTTCTAACGAAATGCGGTAGTTTATAGGTAATAGATCATGCTGATTCCGAATATGATAGCCATTTTTGCCCAAAGGCCTTTCCTAACCGG